ACTGTCGGCAGGCCCCGGCAACATGATTAAGGAGCCAGCGGCGTGATTATGCTTCCCACCTTATGAATGGAATAATACAGAGTGTGGTGTGGTGCTATGTTACCCTGATGGAGGCAAGTGTGTGCTGGGGTGGTGTCCGAGGCCCTCCCATGAGACCGGGAGAAGATAAAGGACTGACAATAGATAATTAAGGAACTGCCAGGACCTCTTTTCTATTCACATGACTGTTTTATTAACGGAGATTCTGTAAGGAAGAATATTAATATAAACCACCAGCCTGTGTGACTTGGTTATGAATATAAATTGGAAGCGGTGGGGGGAGGAATGCATCAGGGAGCGTTTATCAGGAGCACAGGGGAGACATGGTGATCATGAGAACGGGCGGCACACTTTTGCACCGAAGCTCAGCCTCTGTTGATCTTTGGGGAACAACAAATGGCACGTCATCAGCCACAGAAGTGTCATCATAGGCTTGCACACATCATGTACACACATTTATACTGCAGTATAAAAGGGTGTCCATTACATTTTTACTGCTAAACTTCTTTTTTATTTTATTTCCCTACATTTTAGAGGGAAATATTATACTTTGTATTACCTTACATGTTTCTGGTGCCTTGTTAATCAGTTAATCAGATTATGATGAAACACATGATCATGTTATGAAGTGAACAATGGAAATGGTCCTTCAGCATGCAACCATAATTGGGCAACCAAAATATTATGCAGTTTACTGCAGCAGAATGAGAGATTAGCCGTGGACAGACACAGAGGTGCACACCCACTCACTCATGGATGCACACACACGCACACAACCAATCTCATGATCTTCCTGGCGGAGTGAATAATAATCCACTAATGTGTAGAATAAAATCTCTGAAAGGGTCTATTCGGTACTCAGTTCAGTACTTTTACCTACTGATACTTGAAGTGAGTTTTTTTCACAATACTTCAGTTCTTTTATTCAATTAAGGTTTTGTATGTGCAACAGTGCGAATGCTGTATAGCAGTAGTAATAATACACTAGTTCTCTTAAAACCTTAATTGAATAAAATAACTGAAGTATTATGAAAATAACTCACTTATTATCTTTATTCATCAAAACAGATTAAACAGCCCTAATCACAACTAAAAGAGTAATTTTAGTCTCAAGTGCATTTCTTTAACACACCATAAATGAATCATATAGTAAAAACAGGGAATGTGATAATATGTTCTCCTTTGTCATGAATGTGGATAAAAGCAGTGGGTTTTCATTGTCAGTGGAAGGGGCTTATCTGATGTAAGGGTTGTTCAGATGGAAGTACCTCTCCACATGGATTTCAAAGATAAGTATACAGCCTTGTGCAGTTTGGAGGATCCTTTTATCCAAAACACCTGACACAACCTGCAGCCACGTAAATTTTAAAGATGAGTAAGCCCAGAGGGGGAATAACACACTGCCTGAAAGTATTAGCTGCGGTGTAACACAAACATGTTGTTTTCAGCAGAGAAATCTTCCCTGCACAAATATCCTTGAGAAGAAAAATTACATTTCATTGATGATACACTGAATTTGTCTTACAAGGATGCCAAGTTGATACAAAACTGCTATGCTATGATGAAAGGAGTGTAGAGTAGATGTCTCACATATTTTTAAAGGTGAGCTGATTTAAAAATATATCATAAAAAAAGTAGGCACCTTTTATTTGGGTCAGAAAACAATAACTGAATTACAAATTACAAAAACATTGTTTCTACCAAAGAAGGCATGTAGTTTAAAAAAGGTATTTTAAAAGTCATCAAAAGTCAACTGCAATACGAGGAGGTGATCAGGATACTCTTTTGTTGTCAAGAAATCACAAACAAGTAATAGTATAGTATTTAATAAACATGTCATAGTATACTATGTCACAAAGACTAGTAGAATACTGTCATAGGTCACAAAAAGTGTGTCATTATACTATTGTACATTTTGAAAATGATCAGGATAATATCAGGCAAATATTTTGGACGGGATAATTGTGACATGACATTTTCATATCGTCCTATGACTAGAACCTACACAATTATTTAGTCAACACAAACTTTTTCATACTACCTCTTTGGACCAATTTGCAAAAAAGTATTTGAGTATTTTCCGTGGCCATGCCCTTAAGACATACTATGCTATTAAATGTTTTACGACATACTACATTACACATTTTCTCATAACATTTCTTATGACATACTATGACTTTTTTCATGACTTATTATTGTATATTTTCCATAACAGGTAGAAGGACACGCCCCCATCTCCATCAACAGGAATACGATGGAGAGGGTCATCAGGGTTCACACCAGCGAGGCCCTGACATGGACTCACCACACGACAGCGTGAGTGTATCCTGATCATCTCCTGGTAGTTGCAGTTGACATTTTATGACTGACTATTCTTTATTTTTTTTGACATACTGTACTTTTTGTTTGATTTTTAATGTGAAGATGTCGGCCATATTATCTGCCCAGAGATTTGTTTTTGTTGACTTTACTATACTTTGACTTTATTTCATTTTTTTCGAACATGCTATACTATGACTTTTACGACGTACTATACTTTGACCTTTTCAGCTTTTTTCCACATAATATACTTTTACTTCTGTTGAGATACTATACTATCAAATTTGTTTTTAAACTTTTTTCGACATACTACAGTAACTTTTTATACAGTATACAGTAACTTTTTTGTGACTTTTATCGTCATACTATACATACTATACATTGTTATATATTTAATATATTTATACATTATTTTAATGAGAATATAAATTACCTGCTTTTATTGTAATCATCCTTGCTTTCTCTTGTGCCATTTATATTTGTTTTTCATCTATATATATTTATACAAGGAAGTTTATTTTTAATAGTGATTGATATTGTCCATTGAGCCTTCAGGTAGTCATATGTTGAATCATGTTCATCTCATTCGCATTTTCTGAAAATGGCCAGAATATCATCTTTTCGTTTTAAAAAAAAGATACATTTTCTTAAAATATTTGACATAACCTGACAACAAGTTACTTAGGCTTATACTGCCCTACTTTTTCTTTCAATTCACAGACCTTTAAGTCCCACAATCTTATTTTCTTTGTTTGCTCATTATAATCATGCATTATAATGCATAATTCTCTGTAAGATAAATATACCCAGAGGGACAACAGAGTTTGACCTTGTTCATGTAGCATCTCTTGTAGCATAATAATTGGCAACAGGCTGCTGTAACTCCTAAAGGAAACTTGCAAATGCATTCTTTGTCTGTGTGCCTGCATCTACAGAATAAAGGGTCGTTTTAATGAGGAAATAGACAATATTACACTTGTTTTTCTTTGTCTAGTTTTTATTGTTGGGTAAAATGACAAGCGTGTTTTCTCTATATAAATAACAATCACATGAAGGAACATACAAGACATGGCTATGTGGAGGTGGAAGCATTGATCACAATGTGCTTGGGGTACAAGATGTTGATAATGTTTTGTTTTCATATCTTAAAAAGGAGTGCAATGATTATGAACTGGACCTGCGTGAATCTGTACATTGAATGGGAAACTAATGGAGTCACAGTCAGTCGCTTTGTACAGAACATAGAGAGAAAAGATCAGAGGTCATTATCATCAGTACACTTGGATTTTAAGGTTGGCAAAAAATGTGACCGGGGAGAGAAAAAAAAAGAAGTAAAATCAACATATATACGAGTAATATTTAAGAGGAAAGACGGAATGACTTTATATAATCTGTACACATCAATAGTCCTTACTAAATTTGAGATACAGTGTCATAGAGTGCTAGTGTGAAAATGCATAGAAATGTGTCCACCTAGGGAACTGATCATTGACTTGCCAGCTACTTGTCTACTGTCTGCAGCAGCCTTCAGAAAGAGGTGTTTGCCATATTCAAAGCCTCAAAGACCCTCTACACAATACAATTACCGCACTCCCCAGTGTGCAAGCTCATCATTAATTCACATTAAAAACATCCATTTGAAACGTGCTGTCAAACAGAGCAGACAATGCATGTGTTTCAGTAGTTCACTCTATTACACTCTAAGATGATTTCCATATCTTTTTTTTGGTCCAGAGATATTAAAGTCAAGATTTTCTTCAAACACAATTACTCTGTTGACTCATTGCTAAGGAACATTTTGAAATACTTCAAATTTCACAATGTGTTGTGTATAAAGCTGGTACAATGTATCTGACATTGTCACCGACTTTCATTTTTCTGATTTGGACTAAAAAGGAAAACAATATAGATATCATTCAAAACTGTCCAAACCCTCTTTATGATTTTGATCAAAGGTTACCGAGCAGAATGAAACACTCGGTCTCTCAATCTCCACTTCAAACAGGATTGGATCACAGCAAGGGATCATTTTAATTAGACTGAATCGGCCGTGTTGGACGAACGGATAGACGACAGCAGTAGATTTGTGAAGAACCACGCTCACCACAAATGGAGGGGTCAAAGGGAGGAGGTGTAATCTGCAGTCACACTGGGAATAAGTATGCTAATTCCTCTGATGGAGGGGAACTTTCCTTGAAGGCACAGGAAAAAATTTGGGGTGGGTAAACTTAAATTTAAAGGGTTAATCTGGACATATACAGTATATATATATATATATATATATATATATATATATATATATATATATATGTATGTATATCTATTTCTGCCAAATAACTTAAGTATTAGTTTTGTTCAGAGATTATTTACAGCATTCTCACACACTGAATACAACCAATTGTGAATAATTATGCAAAGTTGCACATATTAACGGATTCATACCAATTTTCCTGAAAAAGATTACCAGCAAGCAACTTTATGTAGATATAAACATGAATCATCCAGTGGGGAAAAAAGAGATTTAAACTTGGCTTTCAGACAATATCAACCAATTACTCCCTCACTTGTATATTGTATTTTTTGGATGACAGTCCCTCATCCAATGGACTTACAAATGGTCAATTTGGTTTCTGAATCTGTGGTATTCATTATCACGTTCCCACAAAATTAAAAACTTTGCAACAGAATTCAGTGCAACAGTACTCTTGAGGAAATGAAAGCTCATAGGGTCTGGATGTTACAACCTAAGACTCCCCAACCCACACCACCACGTTGCCTTTGAGAACATCAGTAATCTCACAATTGAGCTTGTTGAGCCTTCCGTCCAGGATGAAGAGGGACTCTCTGGACGGGGTCATGAGGTACTGTCCGAACAGTCCGCTGCCCGTCATTACCCTGTTCCTACTGCTCCATGGCCACTCAAATGACTTGGTGGCCTCTTTCAAGCTCTTGATCATCTTCACTTTGCCGGTGCGCAGCTCCACAAACAGAGCGTCTGTTTGACGGCCGGAGCTGCCGAACACGTTATACTGGTGGACCTCGGTGAAGGAGCGCTGGAAGGCCACATCAGACAGGTGGAGGTTAGTGTGGATGTCAAAGGGCTCCTGGATTTCTCCCCGCTCTGAAATCATCTGGATCCTCATCAGGCCGTCGCCATCGTCAACTGTGACCAAGTAGTGGCCGTCTGGAGACACGTATGGAGTGCCGGTGACGTCACGGTTTTGGCCGATCACACTATGTGTTACACTGTCCAGGATGAGCTGTGGCTGCGTGGTGCCAGTGGAGTCAGGCCTGCAGTTGACAAAGTAGTAGCCGCCTAGATGGGTGTAGGTTACAGACTTGGGGATGCAGTTATACTCCCGTAAGCTGATGTTTTTCACATACGATGTCGTCTCCAGGTCAATCTTGTGGAGGACAGGCTCATTTCGGTGAAGGATGATGCCAAATCTGTAGAAAATAGAAAAACAAAACAAATGCTTTTATCAAAAACACATTTTGTCTTCTTGTAAACCTGAAATGATGACAGATTTTTAGTCACGTCGGCAATGTCAGTTGGTTGGTCTCCACCTTGGTCTGGACTGAAATATCTTAAAAACTACTGGATGGATTGACATGAAATTTTGGGCAGATGTTCACGTTTCTCAGAGAAGGAAGCCTATTTGGTAATGACTCAACTGTAATCTTGTGCCACCAGCAAGTTAACATTTTTACTTATCCAGTGAAATATATCATCGATGAGATGGAGTGATGCATACTTTCCCTTAGACACTGATGGTTCTCAGGTGAAGTATGACTGGTGATCCTGTGAGTTTCATGTTTTTGATGAAATGTCTAAATGGGATTGTAACTTTGGTGGTTCCTTAACTCATCTAGCACCACCTCTAGTTCTGAGTTTTAACTTGTCCAATACTTAAGTTCATGACCAAGTACCTGCACTACCTCCATCCCATCCGCTTAAGATGTATTCTCGCCAGAAAATACCACCACACCTGCAGCTCTGTCAGAAGTGTACTCTTTCTCTCACACTCCCAGAGCTGCGAGGCAGGGTGGTGGTACTGGCTTGCTAATTTCCCCAAAATGGAAATACACTCTTGTCTCGGTTCCTCTGTTCTCCCCGTCCTCTTCCGAATTTCATGCGGTTACTGTCACTTATCCAGTCAAGCTCACCATTGCTGTTGTGTATCGCCCACCAGGCCCTCTTGGTGAGTTCTTGGAAGATCTCGACACATTAGTCTCACACTTCCATGATGATGGCTCCGCACTCATCCTGCTCGGAGACTTTAACATCCAGACTGATAAATTAGAACCGCTTCTTTCCTTCCTCTCCTCTTTTGACCTTTACCCCGCCTCTTCTCCTCCTACCCACAAGGCCGGCAACCAGCTGGATCTTATCTTCACTAGACACTGTTCTACTGCTAACCTCTCCGTCACTCCCCTCCAGCTCTCTGACCACTATTTCATGTCTTACTCCCGCTCCCTCTCCTCTCCCCCCGTACTTCCACCACCTACCCACATGGTTTCTACCCGTAGTCATCTCTGCTCCCTCTCCCCGGCTGATCTTTCATCTTCTGTTACCTCTGCTCTCCCTGACCCTGAAGCCTTCTCTCTCCTATCCCCTGATATTGCTACTGATCTTCTCCTCTCCACCCTTTCCTCTTCTTTGGACAACCTCTGTCCCTTCACCTCCAGGCCTGCACGGCCAACCCCACCTGCCCCATGGCTGTCGGACTCAGTGCGTAATGACAGACGGAGCCTAAGAGAGGCTGAGCGTAAATGGAGAAAAGGCAAACTCCCGGGGGACCTTCTTAACTTCCAAGCTCATCTTTCCACTTTTTCCACCACTCTATCTACTGCTAAAGCTGCTTTCTTTCGCTCCAAAACCCTAACCTCTGCTTCCAATCCTAAAAAACTCTTCGAAACTTTCTCTTCACTCCTCCAACCCCCACCCCCTCCTCCTACTTCCTCCCTTCTCCCTGACGATTTCGCCAACTTCTTTGACAAGAAGGTAAATGATATCAGATCCTCCTTCTCTCAGCCCCCCTGTCCACTCTCTCCCTCTCTACCATCTCCAGCTCTTCCCCCACAGCTCTCCCTCCCCTCTCCATGCCCCATCTTACCCTATCTTGCTCCCCTCTCCCCTAACGAGGTCCTCAACCTTGTTACATCTAACAGCCCCACCATGTGCTCCCTTGACCCGATCCCCTCCCCTCTTCTTCAGTCTATTGCGACTGAACTCCTTCCTTTTCTCACCCACCTCATGAACACCTCTCTTGTTTCAGGATGCTTTCCCACGGCTTTCAAGACTGCTAGAGTCACCCCCCTTCTGAAGAAACCATCACTTGACCCCTCTGATGTCAAGAACTTCAGACCAGTGTCTCTTCTACCCTTTCTTTCCAAAACACTTGAACGTGCTTTCTTTACTCAACTATCCTCCTATCTCCACCAAAACAACCTCTTGGACCCTCACCAGTCCGGGTTCAAAGTGGGTCACTCGACTGAGACAGCCCTCCTTGCGGTGACGGAGTCGCTTCACGCAGCGAGATCTAACTCTCTCTCCTCTGTCCTGATTCTCCTGGACCTGTCTGCGGCGTTTGACACTGTTAACCACCAGATCCTCCTATCCACCCTCGAGGGGATGGGCGTTTCAGGCTCTGCACTCTCCCTGTTTGCATCCTACCTGACAGGTCGATCCTACCAGGTGTCATGGAGGGGCTCTGTGTCGGAACCACGCATGCTGACTACGGGGGTTCCACAAGGCTCAGTCCTGGGCCCCCTTCTCTTCTCGCTCTACACAACATCTCTGGGTTCTGTTATTCGCTCGCATGACTTCTCCTACCATTGTTATGCCAATGACACCCAGCTGGTCTTGTCATTTCCCCCCGGGGACACTCAAGTGGAGGCACGCATCGCTGCGTGCTTGGCTGACATCTTGAAGTGGATGACGACACACCACCTCAAGCTCAACCTGGACAAAACCGAGCTACTGTTCCTCCCGGGGAAGGGTTGCCCGCACCGAGACCTGTCCATCACCATTGATGATACCGTGGTGACGCCAACTCGGACTGCGAGAAACCCGGGTGTGACCCCGGATGACAACTGTCATTCTCAGCAAACATTGCATCGGTTACATGCTCCTGCAGATTCCTGCTCTACAACATCAGGAGGATTCGCCCCTTCCTCACTGATGAGACGGCGCAGGTGCTAATCCAGGCTCTTGTCATCTCCCGCCTGGACTACTGCAACTCACTACTTGCCGGAGCCCCGGCGTCGGCCATCAGACCTCTGGAGCTTGTCCAGAAAGCTGCAGCTCGCCTGGTGTTCAATCACCCCAAGTTCTCCCACACAACTTCCCTTCTCCGTTCTCTACACTGGCTACCTGTAAGAGCCCGCATCCAGTTTAAGACTCTGGTGCTAGCCTACAGGGCAGCGAAAGGAACAGCTCCTTCCTATCTCCAGGCCATGGTCAAGCCCTACACCCCGGCCCGACCACTTCACTCTGCTACCTCGGGGCGACTGGTTGCCCCGTCGCTCAGAGGTCCCTGCGGCTGATCGACCCGGTCGCGGCTGTTTTCTGTCCTGGCCCCACAGTGGTGGAATGAACTCCCCACTGACGTCAGGACGGCAGAGTCGCTGCCCATCTTTCGGCGCAGGCTGAAAACTCACCTCTTCAAGAAGGCCTACCCTTCCGCTTAGCACTTACTTAGCATCTATTGTATTCATACTAGCTTATTGCACTTATTGTTTTTATTTTAGTTTGTGGCACTTATTGCATTTGTTTGTTTCTGCACTGTACATTGGCTCTGGTTTATGCTCTTAGATGCTTGTTTGAGGAAAGGACATGCACTTATTATTTCTGGTGACGAGTTGTTCTCTCGAAAACCGATGTTGAATACACTTATTGTAAGTCACTTTGGATAAAAGCGTCTGCTAAATGACTGTAATGTAATGTAATGTAATTCTGTTCAGTGCTACTTAGCATGATAAACATGCTAAATTAAGATGGTGATAATGGTTATACCTGTTTAACATCAGCATGTTAGCAGATCAGTGGCTGTAGTCTCTCAGAGTAGTAACAGTTAGTAAACCAAAACAGCTGGCTGAACCTGACAGCCAAAATTTAAAAAAAACAAGTTGAAATAAGTTGATAACCCTTCTTTACAAATTTAGACAGCAGGAAATCTTAATTTTAAAATGCAATTTAATCATGCTTTGTGTCTGAAAATCTATATTTTTGTAATTTCAAGTCATGAATGTGCCAGTAAAGTGTGGTGATTATTTTTGTATGCTCAATAATTCTGAAGCAGCAAGTGGTAACATTGTAAAGTAAAGCAGCATAATCCAAATATCAAGATGCATCAGCTTGAAATAAGAAATGGAAATTGATTTGTACTGGGTAATTATGATAATGGTTGGAGTGGAATCATTTTGTTCAGGAAATGTTCAAGAGAAAAAATAAAATTATTGCTGAGAGATGCTTTTAACCACTTCAACAGCCAAATTCTAGTACCTGACAATCTTCATATTGGCAGCCTAGCATCATCTACACTTCGCCCTCATAGAATTATAGCAGTTTTAGATGTGGGCATGGATCAGTGAAAAAACTTTTCATTATAAAAACCCAAAGAGAATGTTCATGGAACATTATATTTTAACAGCTGAACAAGTAGAGGGGGAATATGCAAGGAGCTGACAGGCCTCAATTAAATGTGAATACCAGCTGATCGATGCTGACAGGCTATTGAATCTTGCCGTCATTTATCATCTATCATGCCATTTTAACACCATGCTGCCTGTATCTGCGAACAGAAAATGGCTGTTTGAAAGCCACGGAGGACACTATCATTGCTGTGGTGGGGGAATCATTAATCCAGAATTCGTTCGGACCACTGGCTCCAGGAAAAGAGGCTTTGTTTTTGTTTGTTTGTATAGAGAAGAGAATTTACAGAAAATAATGTTAAACGACCTTTAACATACAGTATATGTAATGCCAGGCAGACATTGTTCAGAATAAGCCCAATATTCAACATAGATTGGTGGTTCCAGACTTTTTAAAATTATTATTTTTAGAAGTGCTCCAGATTGGTTGTTGTTTGATAGCTGCAGGACAATCTGGTGGATTTTTGACATGTCAGAAATTGTGGTTGATTTTCTTTCAGTTTGAGTAGTTCTGTGTTCTGACATCCCAAATGGCTGCAGTCAAAAGACCTGTTATAAGCTGTAGTGAACTTGATTTAACATTATAGGAGTAGTATTTCACATTTTGTGGCTAACTGTGTTGTGAAAACAGTTGTCTGCGTCCTCCCTGCCATCTTCTCAGTTTCCTTTTTTGCCGCCTCGCCTTTGGTTCAAAAGATGGATAGCGTAAAGCCATGCTGCCTTTCTCTGTTCTGTTGTCTTAGAGTAATAATAATTATTGGATTCAATGGATTCAATGGAGAAAACCGATCAGGGTTTTGGTTTAACGTTCAGTGCGAGCATAGAAGGTGTAATTTTGGCTGTGCAGAAACATGCCTGGAAGCTCAAGGTCATTGGTGCATTTAAAAGAATATTGTCTTTGAAAATATTATTTTCAACAACAGCAAGACAAAAAAAATCATGTGTGATGAATTAATAATCAAACATTGTTTGGCCTTGCTCTGATGTGAACACAGCTGGGTTGTGTTATTGGCAGACCCAGATTGCTCTCAGCCAAACTGACAGCTGCTGTTTGTCGTTTGTACCGATGATTAATGCATTAAAGATTCTCCCTGGTTCTGCACAACAGGGTTATGTTTAACTGAAGCTACTTCACATTTTATCCGCTTATCTTCATGTCAATATTTGCAGTTAAAGAAATGACTGGGTCTCAACACTTTGCTCTGCAGTTCAGTTAAAGCTCCTGAGGGCAAAATCCATGTACAGGGAAGAGAACAATGAACGCTGCACGGTAAAAGATATCCATAACACAGCAATTCTTGTTCAGCCATCCTCCAGCGCAAAAACATCGAATCAACATCTCGCTCGGCTTGTTTTGCCAAAAGGCAGTTTGTGCGAAAAATAGGTGCGGGCAGCCTGAGCTGCAAGGTGCTGTAGATGTGGGTACAAATAAGAAATAACAGCTTTTTTTGCTGACATGCACAGCTGCCTGACTGTAGGTCGATGGTTTTAATGAATGACAGCCCCCAGAAGTTCCTGCTTGCTTTATGGAAGCTGCTGAGGGAATCCCCCAGTCATTAAACAATCCCCGGAAGTTGCTGAACATATGTCGGCACATGCAGTTTGCACACTGCTCATGCTGCTAAATCGACTGATCAATGCTGCGTTCTAGCCGACAGACAAATGGCTGTCTGTGTACAAGATAAAGAAATAAATCTGAGCCACAAGGCAGCAGCTAATTTACACCTTCCTGCAATATAAACAGCTGTCCGATTAAAAAAAATAACATTCATGCACATATAGATCTCAAGCTCTTTGAGTGCTTCAACTGTATACTGAGATATTTTCCGAACAGATATACAGAAGACTACTTCACTCTGCTGTTAACAAGGTTGAATTATGAGTTCATAACAAAACTACTGTACTTGGAGAGCCAACTGCGTCTCAATGTTCTACGTGCATCTGCTTTACAGCTAAAAGTAGCGAAGCACATCATGAATTAAGGGAGCTGGACAAAATATTAGAAACACTTGTATAAATATGATGGAATCCAATTCACCACCAACCTTTCCCTTCACTCTGCAAAATTACATTTCGTATTATTTATTTTATGACAAGTAAATCTACATAAATGTCTCAACTATTCATAACTTATGTATGTTGTATACTCTGATTTGTAACCCTGTAATATCAGTTATTATATTAATCAATTGTGGGCAACAATGCAAATGAATGATCAGGACTGCTTTAATGGAATATTTGATTGGATAAAATGTTCTTTAATCAATGTGACTGAACAATTAATTGAGAATATTTGGCACAATAATCTGTTATAATTGGCATACAAATCGTATGTTGTGTCCCTAACGATACAATCCCATTCTAGCCACGTTAGCAATATTCATAACAGGTTACATACAGTAAGCATCAAAAATGATGAGCAACTACTTGGTAAAGATGGCAAATTTCAAAAACACGGGGAACACACTTTCCTGCAATCTTTTCTGCAGGTCTCGGTGGATCTAATTACAGCAGTGCCAGCAAACCCACCACCCCACCCACAACACACACACACACACACACTGGACTGCTTACTCCTCCACACCAGGGGGCCGTTAACATCCTGAAATACTCCAGACCTCCTGCTTGTTCCTGGCCTCTCCGTGACACCAGCCTTTCTCTGTCCAAGTTAAGCCTGAGTGTGACGACCGCTCGTGACTTATGAAAAACCACAGCAGCATGTCTGTGATTGGTTGATGATTAACTCAAATGTGAGGGAGGAGGTGTGGTGCCAACTGTGCCCCTCTGGACACATACCTCAATGCACATTACTAATTGTATCTTGAAAACACATTAACAATAATAAATAAGCAGTCCTAGACCAGGTGTGCTAATGACTTAAATGATTACTGATATTTGGAAAGAACCAGCCTCTTTGACTATTTGCCACAAAGACTCTGGAATTAAAGCAGCGCTTGCGAGGAGGCAGGAGTTGTGATTGAATCGCTTTCTTTCTGATTTGCCTCCGATATTGTCGAAGAGAAAATGTCAGCAGCTATAAACATTATAGCTTTCTTAAAGTTCAGCTGGGCCGTGTGTATAGATTTAAAGAAAGAGCACACGCAAACCTGCACAGCATTTAAAATGAGCTGCATTAAGGCTGCATTTACTTACCATTCTGGGTGCTTAGCAATATAATGACACTGCCTGCCCTTGTTTTAGAAACGCAGCTGGTAAAAGCAATGTGGTCAAAAACTGAACACATTTCTTGCTGGACTTTAAGTTGCCTCCATTTTTTGGGACGCTCTCATATCGAGTGTAACGATTGTTTAAGTATTAAGTCGGTTATGGTTCTAACTAGTCCAATGTGAGGATTTGCTGCTTTTGCTGTGTCACTTTTTTCTGACATTTTCTGGACTAAATAATTAATGGAAAAAACATAATTTGTCTCATTAACTCTGTGGACAAAAGATCAGACATTTGACCTCATTTATCCACAACAGTTCTATACATTTTAGGTGACTTTTGAACTGCCCCTCTACGTGCCGATACTAGAGTTTCCTCCGAGAGAAGCATGCCTCTGTCTAATCACACTAACGTCTGATAGCAAAAATGTTAGCTAACCTTAGCATCGGGCTAACCTCAAGTTAGGCGGCTCGGGCGGTGCATGCTCAAAAGTGGCATGCAGCAGTGAGATGGCCAACAAGAAGTGTGGTATATAGTGGACATATCAACGACCTGTTCTGATAATGAATAATTGTATATTATCAACCACAAATAATCCCAAATATACCACACTATTTGTATTTGTATTTTATGCCATGTCACTATGTGAATGTAAATTTATGTAAATGTAATGTCACATGTAAGGTCTCCCCCGTAATTAATGCTTTGTTCATAAATATATAGTTATTGTGATGATTATCGGCGTTGATCATTATTAAAAAAAACATATCGTGATAACATTTGTGGCCATATCGTCCAGACCGCCCTTGAACCTTGTTTAGCTAACTCAGCCAACCCTGCTGCGACTATTTGGGGGAAAAGGTTGTTCGTTCCTTAAAGACTGCCATGTGATCAGTATTTGCATTTCCCATCCTTACTGGCATAAAGAAATTGTCAGTTATTGTTAAGTATCTTTTGGGTTTACAGACTCAGGTATAAAAAGTTAATTCCACAGCTGACTTGACGATGGTTTATTTTTAGAACTTCAGGTGATCAGCCACTGTCTCCTCTGCAGCGCCGATGACCACTGGGCCTTTCTCCAAAAAGGCTCCATTATCACACTAACACACAAGCACACACTCTCTTTCACACACATCCAAATCATTATTGCAATATTGAGCCTCAGGAGAAAAAGTGAATGAAATGCCAATGGGGCGACTGTAATTTGCGAATCAATTTGCATTAGGAGCGTTCTTGGATCATACTGGACGCACCTGATGTGGTTAATGATGAGGCTGGAGGCGGGAATGTAGAAGTCGTCCACCCTGTCGAAGCGTCTTCCGATCGGCTGTGTGTGAACGGTATGGTGGGAGATTCGTCCACTGGCCTGATTGATCACCTGGTGAACACCAATGAAGAAGGAGTTGGGTGTCAAACATGAGCTCAGTGCTGCTGGTTTCTACTCGTTTTAAGTCTGTATCTAGTACGTATTTGAAGCTTACAACCAAAAGGGAGTAGTACTTGTAATTTATGTTTTATTTTTCATATAAATTAACAGTCTTAATCCATAACAACCGTGAAATAAACTCAAATAAATCACTCAACATGTTGCCATCATGTTTATCTTTGCTTAGGTGCATTGATTTGAAACATAAGCCTTCAGCCTCTTTTCTTACTGCTGGAGCTTCCCAGTGGGAGGTGATGTGTGCCGTTGTCACCGGTGTCTAAATAATACTCGTGCATGCATGAAAGTGGGCAGACATGTGCTTGTGTGTAGGCAGGGTTTGCTTTGATTCTGCCACAATGCACAAAGCGAATTGCCAGAGACCAAACCCCGCATTATGAATTTCGTTACAGGCGATTATGAGCAAGATTTCCAAGTAAAACCAATCAACACTCGAGACAAAAGTACTCTTAAAAATAAATTACCATTTCATTACAATGATTGTATTTGTAGCATGATCTTCAAGTCTGTGTCATGTTAACATACGGTGTTAGTATTTGGACAGTGACTCATTTTGTTCCTCTTCTGTACTCCAGCAATATGCGTCTGAAATCAAACTAAAACTAAATATTTGATGGTTTTTACATCCATATCAGGTGAAAATGAGAGGATTGAATCAATGAAAAAAGAAATTCCCTCACTGTTCAGGTCACATGGATGTGACTAGAGCCACACCAATAGATGAGTCATGTTGATATTAGTTTATTGCAGATATTCCATAAATTTCCTTTATTTACCTCAGTGACAAGCAGCATGAGGCCTTCATTGCTAATTTTCCCTGATTCCAAGTTAATGCAAACTCAAAACTTCCTCCATGTTGATTTGATGTCTTGTTAATTCGGTAGAATGTCCATTTCCACAGCACAAATTCACCTCAGTAAAGCAAGAGTCATGTCGGGCACTTTGCCTTTTCCCCCGGAATATACAATGAATGAAACTTGACACTTCCTCCACAATTTTCACTAAGAAGAAACGACTCTTCTTAGCAAAGAGCCACTCAGAGCAGCAGAGTGGTGACTATAATATGATTCATTTGTACTGATGGAAAAGTACAAGATACTACGTTTGCCATGTAGTCGGCTCCAGGTATCACGATTATTGTAATTTTGGCTCTTTAATGAGAATTTATATCATATCCATGTTAGAGTACATGTCAACATGAAATTGATGGCCACAAAAACCCAAATGTATTTGTGATAATTCAGAGTAAATATAAAATAATTAAGTAATTGTTTGTTATTGGCTAATACATTTTTGTTAACACTTTTTAAAAGATATAACAATCAGACAATGGACATGACAAATCAGCATTTTATCCTCAGAGTCTTTGTTTTGTTTTCCAATCTGCTGGAGTTCTGAGCCAAAACAATTGAAAATATGTCAATGTCCACATACTGACACACTGCACTGTGACTATTAATGACCCCTCATCAAGCAACACAAACAAATCAACAGTTGAATATCCCAGAGAGGCAACAGTGATTAATGCCACATTCATGTCATATTGGAAAAACACGGAACAGCAGGACATTTCATTAACTGCAATGCCCCGCCAAGATGGTGATTATAAGGTTGTTTACAATATATTAAATATTAACTTTGTTGACAAACCTATGCAGTATCTGATGCTCTCAGGTCGATATTAAAGCCTAAATGAAAACTATTCACACATGGTATTTATTGTAATCAGCACTAGGACCTAATGTGGTATGTTTAGATGTTTACAGTAATCTAATCCAAAATTGAAACAATTAGTCAACGACAACTTTACAAGTAAACACGTCAAACATTTGCTGGTGCAAGCTTCTTAAATGTGACTATCGTCTGCTTTTCTACTGTTGGTCGGACAAAATGAGCAATTTGAAGACATCACTTTGGTCTCAGTGAGGTTGTGACAGGCATTCTATCAATCAAGAAGCATATAGCGCAAAATAATCAATAATTTGACAAGACATTAAGACGACACAAACGCACATACTGGCCCTTTTGCTAAACTTAGATTGAATCCTGACGATGCCAAATGTCTCATAACCACTTCACAAGGAAAAACTCTGCAAAGGAATGAATAACATTTTGAGTGTTACAAACAACTTTGTGGACTCACCTGGAGCGTAGGGAGGTTCTTCTCCATGTCTCCCCAGCTGAGCAGCCACACCTGGTCGTGAGATTTGTCATAGTGAAGCTTCACAGGATAAGGGTCGGTGCTGACAGTCTGGAAGGGGGCGACACATCAAAATCAAACCAAACGGAGCCTTTAAAGACAGCAGGGCCACAGAATAACAATTCAAGGCAATCTAGACTTTTGCTTTTGAAGAGATCCTTCTTTGATGTGCTGTGGTAATGCTTCTGAAAAGTTCTCCTGCAGACTAATGCATCAGGGGTTGACAGGAGCAAGTCTTCTTTTAACAAGGCAGAGAGTGGAGGTGTGCTTTTTAGGTAGAAGATGTTTTTGGTGTTGAGCTGCATTTCAAATCAAGTGGTGACAGACACAATTGCTTTACCACACTGGAGTAATTGCTTTCAGTCTTTATCCGTTTCCTTGACACACAGCGGCGATATTCCAAGTCAGAACAATAGATGAGTCACATGTGACAGAAAAGTGCTCCTCATGCATTATGTCCACCTGAGTGAGGATAGACAGCCAGCGCAAAGGGAATAGGGAAAGCACAGGGGAGAAGAGTGCAAAAGCAGCCGCTACAGCCTGAACAACAGCAAGAAAAAGCAATCATATTCCCACAATCCCCTTTGACTGCAGCTATATTATTTGTTTTGCTATGCAGCTCTAATAGTATTGTTTACCTAGGCAAAATATATATTGTATCACTGAGAGAGCGAACAGCTCCAGAGAGGGGTTATATAGCACATAAACTGAGAATATCTGTTGAATCTTAACTTATCTCTGAACGTGTAGTCAGGTGACAGGTGTTCGTGTTGTTCTTTTTCTCTAGACTAACAACTTCTCTCTGGCTGAGGAAGATTATCAAGAATCCTCAGCCAATATCTTCGTGCAACTTTAGCGCCAAGAGCGGATCTGTCGGAGATGAAGAGCAGGAAACATCGCAGCTCCTTTAAACATTTATCCGTGTGCATGTTGTAATTAATTTGGTTATAAAACGCAAAATACAATCTGCTCATTAAAAAGTCTTCACCGAGCATTTAATTGGTTACAAATTTCAAAATGCAATTTGCTCGTTATTATAACTTTGCGTACGTCAATCCTATTAATAACTCAATAACAGCGAGACCTGTAACCGGAAAACTAGAATTTGCATCCCTCCTACTGTTCGAGACGAGATGTGGGTTCAGGTGCTTAATTAACAACTGCTAATATAATACAATGAATCTAAACCTCCCCGCGACTGAATAATGAGCTTGTGACAGTCTCTGGGAAAGCAGACTGCTTACTGGCAGGTCCCCGAGAGGCATGCAAGCTGTAAACAGCCATCACGGTTACACAAACATCTGCAGGGATCGGAGCAACCCTGGATTAGCCGGGCACACCCAGAAACCCACCGACACTGATGATTTAACTCAACGCTGCTCACAAGAAATGTGCTGAATGATGTCATGTAGGAGATGTGCTACTTCCTGGGTCTGCCTCGGGAAAAATATAATTCCCTCAGGAAAATAAACAGAGCTGCAAGAGTGCACTGCAGAGTGTTTGGGGGATTGTATTTTATACCATCAATGAGGAAACCTGCAGTTACCATGTTACAATATCTATGAGGGGGTTGCCAGGTTACAGTTTCCATGAAGAGGTGGGTCTCGAGGCTACTTGGTCCCCGCATCATTGTGGCAGTTAAGTGTAGGTCTCGACTGTAGCAGCAGGTATGAAAAGGTTCGGGCCAGGGGTTAGCAGGGGAACTAAAGGTGAAGAAAAGGATCTTAAAGCTGGAAAAGCAACGTTTCAGTCCGTCAGTGCAAGAAGAACAGAGCAGCTGTTGTTGGCTGAGAAGGAGTAGCAGCCTGTTCAACATTCACAACCTATAGCTGCAACCTGAACAACTGAGATGAGCAGCGGAAGATATGAAATGTTAATTTAATGTACCCGACACAGTGGTATAACAGATGTAAGCCTGCTCACTGTGACACCTTATTTATCACACTTGATCAAAATACTGGAGGCCCTGATTTAGAACTAGCAGGATAAAAACAGAATTGTGCTGAATCTTTCCGACATTGCCCTTTGCTAAGATTACTAGAATTTTGACAACCAAGAACCAGATCTAAAATGGAACCGGCTATCGGATCCCATGGATGAAATAAGACTCCAGGCTAACCGAGCAACGGGAGGTCGGTGACTGTTGTGCCCACATCTTTAGAGAGACCTGGCTCCAGTGTGAAAATCCAGGATCAATATGCATTTGACGCGCAGAGAACAGGACTCAGAGGAGGCAGACTGTGTGTTTACATTACTAATGCTTGGTGCTTAAACATAGTCACATTTGATAGGCAGTGTTTCCCTGATGTCAAATGTCTAATGTTAAGATGCTGACCAAGTTATCTGCCCACATCATTTTGCTGTCATTTTTGTTGCTGCAGTTTACATTCCTCCTGGTTCAAATGAATACAAATAAAAACCTACTGGGATGCACTACTGTTTTTGTGTTGCTTTTCTAGCATTGCAAATGATCTAAAACTCAATTTTGTCATGCAATGCTGTGTTGCATATTGACAATAAATCATTCTTTAATCCTTGATTGGCTGACTATGAAGTACAAGTAAAGTACTTATTTTACAAAGAAGTGATCTTTTCGAGGCACCCCCTCCTTAGAGACAGTATATATATATATAAAATGTAAGCACAAGGAGAAGTATTAGAGCAGAGAGGCAGTGGGTTTAACAACACTGTGAAATCTATTAGCTGTGCGTAGCTGAATGAGCCTCTGGTCAGCTATAAGAAAACGTAAGTTTACATCCTTGTGTGCATACACAATTATATGTACTAATATAATGAAGTGTCCTTTGGAATCAAGCACCTTTCTTGTCTTGCATTCAGCCCCCTGCAGAACATATGAAGCTCACCAGGGCCAATATCAGCACACCACAGCAATCACTCTTGTGTATTAGTATCCTACTAAATTATTACTCAAGTAGAATATTTTAAGTGGATGCATATCTAATGCTCAAGCTGTTCCCAAAAAGGATAAAGTTCCACACACACTTTGGGTGAAAGTTGGAGGATGTCGTCCAACGCTCTTATAATGATTTAGCTTTTGGATGAGGGATGATGTATTGTATCAAACTGAATCCCAAGTCGAAGGGGACGATTTAATGAAAAAAACGTGTCCTTCATTCGACAAAATCAATCACAGAAAATACCCTTACAGTAACGATTTATCGTGGGTTCATTTGGAGAAAGAAAAAGAGAAAAATACACTCGCCTCCTGCAACCTTGAGGTTTCTTGGCACAGATTACAATTTTACAAAACAGGAAAGATTCTTTTCATTTGTTCCCCTTTTCTGCGTAAAATTGTCAACTCCTCCCACACCACACATTGTTGTAATGTTGTTGACAAAATTGACATGAACCTGGTTTTCCAATTTATCCTGAAAACTACCTGGACAGCCTTCTGAGACTGGATGTCAACTATGAGCACTCGATCCAAGGTTGGCTGTGTCACATAAATAAACTTGTCCTTGATGTTGACCGCTGATGACCACACACACCTCTGAACCTCTTCTCCTGGTGAGGTGGGGCACACCTCCTCCTGGAAGGAAACAAAAGCACACACACACATTGCTGGTCAACTAATGGTTTTTCATATCACAGGGAACTAGGCCTCATTAAAAAACAATTATCTCCATTCAGTCGTTATTCTGTGTTGTTTACTACTTGCGGTCTTATCTCCTGTGCTGATGTGAGTCGTGTTATCTTGGCAACTTAGATAAATAAGCTTTGCAAGGTCCTGAAAAATCTCTGTAATCGCTCCCATTTGTCCATACATAATCCACAGCACAAAGCCTGCAGACGATCTGCGGCTGTTCAGCTTTCCGTCCTGGCAGCTCTCGCCTTCCTGGCCAACGGGAACTTTAACCGGCCTTCTGTCTCTGGAGCTTGCCTCCCCTCCCACCCCCCACCCCCCGCCCCCAGGCCCTCAAAGCCTCCAGGCTCTGCCCAGTCATCTGTTCCAGACTCTGCGGGACAATTTAGAGAGCCGTTGGCTAGCGAGGATGAATAAAGGTCTCCGGCATGGAGGGATGAACTCTTTCTCCCATATTTACAACTGCAGAGTCAATCCGTGACAGGTGCCATCCCACAGGCCAACTTCTCTCAGTTAGAAGGGCATTAGGTAATGCATGAACTTCATTGAACTCATTCAGGGATAAGGGAGAGCAGCAGCATCACTGAGAGAATTTAACTCATCTCTATTTCAGCCCCCAACTCATCCCGTCCTCTGTATTTCATCTGTAGATAAGCAGGTTAATTTGGGAAGACATAAAACAATCACATAGCAGAAAGGTTGTTTGATGCAGAATGCTAAAACAATGACAGCGCTTTGGCGTTTTTGGCTTCACAACAAGGTTTCAAATTCTTTGTACTGTAACGTCTTTCAGTGTCCAGTTGTAGCACCATCTGCCAGTGTTTTTGAACTAAAACAGGTTGGGAAATGCAGTTTTTAAAAGCCAGAGAACCCTGCACTTGGTGAAGTAATGGCCGAGTCATTGGTATTGAACCCCTGCAGTCCCACACTGCGGTCACTTTGTGCCACTTGGCTGTAAATATCTTACTTATTGCACCTTGAAGAGGTGAGAAATCAAACATCTGATGCACAGCTGAGGGTGTGAACGGAGGCGGCTGTAATCCTCAATGTGTATGTGTATTGCATATGTCTGTATGTGTGTGGGTGCATAGCATGTATGTGATTTATGTCGAAACTGACAGCTTCTAAAGACTGCAGATATGATTTTCCCCATCATTATGGAAATGCTTTCACTACACATACACCACAGTGTATATGTTGCATATATTCACTCAAATCCTTACTGCATTTAGGACATTATACTGGAACCACACCAGGAACAATAAAATACCATACTGTACTGTATCATTTGAACAAAAACTGTAAATCCTACTACTGCTAAATATGTCTTCAAAGGACATCCACTCTTTTCACTTGCGAATCGGTGATGACATCTAAAGAGCCATGCTTAAAACAATGATGGTTATGATATTCCCCAGTTAAGCCACTGGATGATTTGTAGTGCTAATATATTTGCGACACAACATCAGCAGCATCATCGGTGGGGAGGAAAACAGTGAAACGGCATCATCCGAAGTGTCAAAGAGAGGAACTTCAGAGGAGCAACTCATTTTTATACTTTTTTAAGGTGGTTCTCTAAGGTCTCAATCCAAACTGCTATGAACTAAAAGTATGATGGGATGTTGATTTTAGAATTCTTTTAAATGGTAGATAACTCAATTCAACACACTGTTTTTGTTTTTTTTCCCCAAAAAGGTGCAGATTAGTTTAAACGGATTTTCCACCAGAATAGTTTCCCCTTCTGTTTACAGTAAACGGGGAGCACAGGGAACACTTAGGAGCTCAGGATGTGCTTCTGGTCAGAGTGAAGTGAAGAAAGGAGAGACTCTTTTTGAGTATACAGTACATCAAGACAACATTGAAAATAGTTGATGTTCAAGTTTCACCTGTTTTTTTATTGCTCATAATGAACATAAAATTATTGTGTGTGAGTGATGTTGCTTTTTTACAAACATACAAAGTAAATATATGGTACCTAAACATACCCACTCCCTATGTTTGAAGGCACAATGAGGATTTTCCAATAATCACTTATGACCCACTACCAGTGTGTGGCGGTGTCTGTATCTGCATAGACCCTGCACTATGCCAGTATTTTCATATTTTGCTGTGTCTGCGACGTTTCTGGGCGTCGACCCCAATAAAACGACCAGGTGCCAGGTCTTAAGCACGCATCCAAGAGGAACCTACAAAAACGGAGGCCACCGAGCTGAAAAGAAACATAAATATAGTAAAGAGAAACGCCAAGTGCACAAAGCTCGCTCCAAAACTAGACGGAATCTGGCATTGGCTTTCACCTAATGGCAAGAACCCTTGTTAAGCTGGGAAGGAGGGACCAACTTCGAATGTTGTGTTTACAAAAATGTAACCGCCAAATCCTTCCCATTGTGAAAGAACCATTTAACAACACAACAGGGCTCGACACAATGCTTTGGCAGTTAGAATAATCATGGATGCTCCCTCTCAGCTTCTTCCCGACTGCAGAGGGAAGGAAAACAAAGATACTTCGAGGACGGACTTCAGTACAATTGGACATCACAGTGTTTTCCCACGACTGTGTGCATCACAGTAAAACACTCTATACGGTAGTTAAGGATAATGACTTCGCTGCAAGATTACCATAAACAAATCAATCAATGCACCTATGCGATGGAGAAAAGGTGAGTTCCAATGCTGGAAGCGGCCTCATGTGTTCACACAGCAATCCCCCACGACAGCACTGGAACTGGCATTGCAGCACTCACAGTGATGGATATCCTAATACACACACACCTCTCAGAGGAACGCTTGGCTGATTGTTGCTCATTCATGGCACCACTGTATGTATAACAGCCATCCAATAAGCATGGGGGCTCCTGAATGAAAAGCAGCTCAGAGGAAAGCATCCATTTGAGAATACATGTAAATCGAACAGGTTTCTGTTAGCAGCACGCTTTGAATATTTTGATGCTTGAAGGTTTTAGTGATAAACGGTGTTTCGGGGGGTGGGGGGGCTGAGTGTAAAGAGCCCTCCGGGAGGTGAAACAGTCTGCCTGTGACTGCTTGTGGACTGTAAATTAACAGGTGCACCACCGTAAAGGTGGCCCCCGTGTCCACTGGGCATCATTTTCTGTAGCAGTAGCAGTAATAGCCTGAAGAAAATGTTTGACTATCAGTAACCACTTTAGAGCTGGACTAATCAATAGATTTAGAATAACAGCAGAAGCATTTACTACGTCCAATCCGCAGAGCATTTTGGCTTCTTTCAGGTCATAATCTTTGGTTCCACAACTTTAAAGTTTTGGTTCAATCTGACAGCTGATCAGCAGCAGCAGGCAGCTGTTTTCAGCAAAAAAATGATCCGCTAAACCCACTGTACAGCCAGACACCTCCCTCAGGAGTAAGTGAGGACTACAAAACTAAAAGTGTTGAAAGGAGACTGAACATTAGAATCATAAAGCGAACATAAACAAGACTCAAAATGAATGCTAATGTTGCCCTGTGTCTTCTGGATGTGGAAATAGGTAACTGCTTGATCACACAATAACAACCTCACAGCGTGATGCGTCAATATTGTGCATAATATTATGGCTTTTTGCTGTGAAGGAGGGCTGCACCTCACTTAAAGCTAAAACACAACTTTTCATAATTTTTTTGTAATTTAAATTTTATTTTTTCATAATTGCATACAGCCCTGCATTTGATAATGGCTCGTTACTAAAATAGATTTTTCTCTATGTTCTACATATTCTTCGTCACTGTTCAATAATAATCAAGTATCTCCAATTGTCACCAAACAAGAAAAATAGCACTTTTCTCAATCCACAAAGGAATTTAACTTAAAAATCTGAAAGTATCAACAAACATTTGTTTCATTCAAAAGTGAACAAACATTATTTGCTATTCTATGTGTTAAATGGTGCCTATATAATGTCTTACTCACCCTAATGAGCTATTCTTGTCAAAATCATTCCAACTTCTCTGCATTGCTAAAAATGTACAATTCTTTGTCTGTTTATTTGACAAGAAACAGAGATCACGCAGGTAGATAAACAAGCACATATCTGTGTGTGCATTCTTATCTAAGGTGGTGGCATGGTGGTTGGAGGCTGTGTCCTCTAAATTCACAAGTGCAACATCACACCGAACCCAAGTTAAATCCCTGTAGAAACTATTGACTGCTTGTGATTGATTTCAGTAGCTGTTACTAGTAGGTCAGACAACAGGACGCTTGTCAAGGCCAGCGAATAATAAATCACATGAGTGACACATTATCCCACCAACACTTAGCTGTTTCCTCACACCAGTTCACTTTAAAAACATTTACATCATAAATGTTTTAGTTTGTTATTGCTTCTTGGTGGAGTTTTTGATTTATGCCTGTTCCCGTTTACACTGCATTGTCTGGTTCCTTTAAAATGTTTTCTAATGGAATAAAATAGAGATTTTAAAGCGACAATTCAACTCAAGTCTCAAGTCCTTGGCAGGCACAAATCATAAACGTTTTCTGGACTGACCTGGACGAGAAAGATGCGTCCGTGTTCGCGCACAGATTCTTTAGAGAAGGTAAGAAGGAATTTACAGAGATAACCAGAGGGTCAAAGTCTAAAGGAATCATTTCAGGCATTCAGGAAAGTAAAAATAATGTTTTTTTCCAACCTAGATAGTGTTCAAGTTCTGAGACTTGAATAGGCATTCAACTTTTCATTATTACAATCTCTGAATACAGAATTGACATATTATCACCTCATACCTGTTGGCAAACAGTTGCTTAGTAACAAATCCAGCAGACACGGAGCAACATTATCATTCATTTGAAGAATGTAGGATTTTACTAAACCAAAACACACTGACTGACTAGTACATGACTTCACCTAGGAATGAATCATATAACGTGAGTCACAAGCTGATTGCGTCTTTTGCGTGACTACTCACCTGCAGAGCCAGCAGCTTCTCGCTGGGCTTAATGTGTCTCTGTATCTCACATGCCACAGGCTGAATGACTTTAATACCGTCTTCATAAAACACGTAGAACATGTTGCCAATGCCGAGACCTGGAAAGAAAGCACAAACAGCCCCATTAACACAAAGTGCATATATAAATAAAATAGATTATGAGACTGCTCGGTGTGAACATTTGCAACGGAAATTGGCCTACAACATTGTTATCTACTTTCAAAGCATCAAATCATTTAATCCTTCTCATCACAGTTCAGTAACCCTATTACAAAAATTCAATTAACTCAGTTTAATGAACGCTATAGTGAATCAGAGCAGTCTAGACGTACCTTCTTCCCGCCACAAAATGTTTGCCACTGTGAGGGAAAAAAAAAGAGGAAAGTGCAGTTAAAAATCAATGCAAGAATCAATGGGAGACCTTTGTGAGCGCTAACACCCAAACACTAACTCCTATTGAGGCAAAGAGGAAAGCAGGCTGCATGAAACTTTTATGGAAACTGTGTCTCTGACACCTCGTGCAACAAACAATCGATAGAGCCCTCTGCAAGGAAATAATTTGATACCAAACACTGGAAAATGGAGTACTGTAAAACAGTTTATGATTTTTGGTTGCTGCATCCCCGAGTATGTGGAGATGCGTGAAATAAGTTTGAAAAACAAAACCTGAGACATCAGATCGTCATCCATCAATATGAGCTGTATGGATAAGCCGCCTTAGACACCCATGAGTGGGCCACAGGTTCTAAGCTCAGATGATTACCATACGTCATGAGGAGGGATTAGTGTGCTCCTTCCTTCAGTGGCAACAAAACTGTTTTGGCTCCTGTAACAGGTCATTTCTCATTAAATTCACTTAGAGGTGACTAATGATGTGAAATGACGAACAAAAGCCACGCGACACCCAGAGTGCTTTAATGGCCGGCCTAAAACGCAGACCAGCTGGTGGCTTTCAAAGCAGCCAATGGGCACTCTGAGAGAAAAGTGCAATTACTTAAAATTACATGACTAAAGCGTGATGTGGTAAGGAGAAAATTTAGAGCCATTAAAAAGTTATATTCCATGCAAATTCTGCTACTCAATCATTCTTATCTTTCACCACACCAGCAGCATTTTCCTCTCACACTGGCTTCTTAACTGTGACCTTCTCTCTCATTGTTCATCTGTCCCCCGGTCTTCCCTCTGCTTCCACCCCATCTTCCACTTTCAGGCATTTTCTGCCTACAAACCAATCTGCAGCCCAATTCACATCCGATTCTAATCTCGCCTCTATTGCAAATGCTCATTCCCGCAGCCTCTTGCTCGGGTGGACAGATGCGGGGGAAAGAAAAGGGTAGAGACAAAGCCAACTAGACACCACTGTGCCGTTAGTCAGCCTTAATCTTTCAAAAGTGCTTTGTCAAGGTGTTCCTGTGCACCCTTGCATACCTTTTCGCTCATTAAAAGTTGCACAAAAAGAGTGGGGTCTATAGATAGATGGAGAAAGAAGTAAGGAAGGAAGGATGGGCAAAATATAAAGCAAAACAATACCATTTATTTGAGATGTGCCAAAAATGGAAAAGGGAGAAAATGGAAAAGAGGAGTTCGAGATGAGATCTTGTGTGCCTCGGTCTTTTCCAATAGTCCACAGTATTGATGCTATTCATCACTTGGCAGAAAGACTGTGGCTATTCTGCGCATGGAAGGGGCCCATACATCAACTTCATCATCCATATAACAAAACAAGCTGGCTGCCACTGTAGGCGGTGAGTTCACTCTTTCTGGCCGTAATAACTGTGTTTCCACCGGGCTCCAGACATTGGGAATGCCACGCTCACCAGGCTCGCCAGCCGCCCTGGACTCCGCAGTTCCTTCCCGTCAGCAAGGTTACATGAATTCAATTTGTTTGTTTACAAGAGCTGCGACAGTAGGGCAAACAGCCCGTGGTGTTCACCATAGCGGCGTGGCAGTAGACGGCGGATGCATAATATCAGTAGAGTAATTGGGTCATAGTAGATGACTGCCTCCGGTGTGCAGGGTTTCACTGCTCTTTCCAGAGATTATCCCGCCTTGGAAACTTTGACTGCATATGTTTAAATTCTGCTTTCCTTTTCATTTAAGCAGCACACACACACATGCATTATGATTTACAGACTGCAAGTGTTGTAGGCAGCTACAATGAGAAAGCAGAATGGGTAAACCACTCAAATTCTTTCTTCATCTGCATTGATACAAACAGATATCCTCTCAGTGCAGAGACTGATAGCATGCACAGCAGGTATTCACCTCATATCCATTACTGCAGCTATACCAAAAAGTCTTCAGATGCACCTGCCAACACTCACTTACAGTACATCTAGGCCTGGATTAAGATGCCTCAGGACCCCCTGCTTTGGGTCTTAGCCAGAGCCTGTAAAGCGTAAGATCAGCAGAAATGTGTGTTTATCAATGATGTCTCTAACACCATCTTCAATTTTGCTCTCTTAAATGTTCCCTTTTCTTAAATACGTTTCCCATTTCTTTCGAAATATACTACCTCAAATGTCCTCTTTTTTTAATTGATTCTCTATAAAAAAACTTTGTCCAACTTTTGTTTTTCTAATTAGAATCAGGGGTTACTTGACTGACTTTCTTAAAGGCCCTGAAATGTTCTTAATTAGCTTCGTACTCTGAGCAATGGGGAGCTAAACTACCACACCATTTTTGGCAAAAGTTAGAAGAGTTCCAGTACAGGTGAGTTCTTGAGTGTAAGACTCTTAAATAGATGATACCCAAGGGTGTTTTTCTTCACAAAGATTCACTTTTATTTTGGTCGTTAAGTCATGAATATTTAATGTTCTTGAGAAATACTTTAAAAAATATTTTGGTTCTGGTGATTCTGGTTATACCATATTTTTCTGAGAGACTACAACCAACAATGTCAGTCAGTCCCACTCTCCCTCCCTGTCTGTGGCTCTCAGCTAAAAGCCATTTACTGAAGACATACATCTTTAAAACAGGTCACACATTTCATTTCTTCTAAAAGGCTCAGTTATTGCCTGAAACACCTGGGCTCTGTCATTTTTATGAAACATTTAAACTGGAGTAAATCTTACAGTTGTTGGAGACTTTTGAAAGGGCATGTCACCCATGTTTTTAATATGTTTGGACAGCAATGGAGGACTTTGGCACAGAGTAACAGCATTGAGATATAGCAGCCTTTGGCTACACAGATACTTGTTAGTAGCATCAACTTTCTGTTGGTTTTAGTCTATTCACATGATTTGTAGATAATAAAAAATACAAATTGAAAAAAAAGTTGATTTATATAGTTCAGGAGAAGTATCGAAGGGTCATTTTGAAATATTTCATGTCTAATTCAAAGTGTTTTTCAAAGTGCTTTTTTTTTTTTTTTTACCAACTGCATATATTTGAGGGCGCTTAAAGATCGAGGGCTAACTTCAACAGCAAGTGCCCGGCAGTACTACTTATAGTCAGGTAGAATAAGGAAGCTTTTAAAATAACAAGACTGACTGCAGTAGAACTAGAGCTGGAAGCCTGTGGACAAGTTACAAGCGTCTGAGCTCATCACAAACCAAAACTGCACTGGGAGACACTCAGAGGTAAATATTTAGCTGTGCAATGAATATGAACCACCTGCAATGATAAAAAAAAATCCAGGTTTCCACTATTTCATCATATAAACACCTGCGTTTTAACCAATTTATAATGGTTTGTAAAGGTAGGTGAACTAAATCGATACAACCTGTTTGTAAGTTCCGTTTTCCAAACTTTGTTTCATCTAATGTAAAACAAATCACTGTAATTCATTCATTTTACAATCTTTTCAGGTTGTTTTTGTCTTCTTGCTTTGTCCTCTCTGCTCTCTATGTTTTGCATCGATTACTACTTTCAATAGATCAGTGGTCTTATCATTAGTATCAGTCTTTTACAGAACGCATCATCGGAAATATTCATCAGCTGTCATGTTGTAACAAGGGTTTAAAGGCCTTTAAAACTTTACACTAGATTTACAATATTAATTTCACAAAGCCCTTAGCATGAAACTCAGTCGACAGGCTGCTGACACTGTGGATAGCGTCATTGTCTGGTTAGAGCTCCTTGTTGCTGACAGCGTATCCAACTCTGTGTGAAAGCCCACTGTGATGGTGGAGGGACACCACTGATGGAAACATGTACGCTATTTTGGCACGAGCTGATCTTCTCTATTCAGAGGCTGCGGAGCAGACAGCATGGCGGACCGACTTTGGTGTGGAGCGGGTGGTTCTTATCCTTGTGCCATCGAGGCCCGGGACATCGCAGGGTTTTGTTCCAACCAATCACTTCACCAGCGGATTTCACTGATTAGATCTTCCACTCTGCCTGAATTAAAATAGTGCCGGGTTTGATTGGAACAAAAGCCTACCAACTGTTAAATGTCAAAAAATGGTTTGGAAACACGGTAGAGAGTGAAGTCAGGGGAGTGTGTGGAAGATATCATTTGGTAAAGTATAAAGAACACAGAAGAGAGTACAGAGCAAAGACAGCACAGTCTGTAAAATAGAAACAGTAAAAGGTTGAAAAGGTGCAATGATGGCAATATGTCTGAACAAGTCATTAGGTTTGAGAAAATGATGCCAGTAGGCTGAAATAATCCCAAACATTAGAAATTAGTCTCATTAACTTGACACAATAAGTCAAAACAATCAGATCTGGATTTAGGGAAAAAAAAAAATTACAATTAAGATTCCTCAAAATGACTTGATTTGTATTTAAAGCTGTGATATAATCTCACCCCATAATAAGAACGATTTAGTAACTGACTCGTGACCGAGAGATGTTTTACGTTGCAGTGCTTTTCAGCCCACTAGAGTTGTCAAGACTTTCTGTTCCTGCTGAGGTACGTAAAGGTCAGACATTACTTATGGGCCTCTACAGTGAGTCATAAAGCTTTGAGTAAAGAAAAACAGAAGAAGGAGTAAAGTAAAGAGTAGATACTGGAGTCATGAGTAGGTTATGAAGCAGCACTGTCCTAACTCCTCGAATGAAGCTCATTACCTCACAAGTGTACACTCTGTATATCATGTTACAACACTGGCTATGATGGAGGGTATATTAACCTGAATGTTAGTTTTACTGTCCATAAAAACTTGCTTAGTAAGCAGGTATTTATTGGAGATAAAGTAAACTGGTGTAATGAAATATTTCCGCCAGCTGCTTCTTAGAAAGTTGGAAAAGAACCTCATTATTTTTGTCTCCCAGCTTTTGTTACCACTTTTTATATGTATGTATCTAATAATAAAATGAATTTACAAAGTTACATTAACCTTAGCTTGACAGTCGACTGTTAGCCCATTATAATGTTTCAGCATCTAATGTAATGTGGTCATTAATTAACAAT